CTATGTCTATGTCTATGACTATGTCTTTGTCTATGCATATGTCTATGTATATGTATATTATGTATATGTATATGTACATCTCTATGTATATGTGTATGTATATATAACGGTAGATGTGTGTGTGTATATGTGTATATATATATATATATTTGTACCGTTGCATACGTGCCTATCTATTTGTGGCAGTCCCTTGCCTGCCTTTGTTCACCACCAGTCGAATTTTCCAGGTGTGAACCTTGGGTCCATGCCAGCACCTGAGGCCCTCCACGCGCGCACACACAAGACCAGATCCTGCCTAACGTTTAACCCTCTGAGGTGTTTTTGTTCATCTAATTGTAAAGAAACGGTCACATTCAACAGGTTACCTTTTGTACAGGAGCACTCAGGAACCCAATGGCCGTGGAGCTTATGCCTCAAGGGCCCGAGAGCCACTCTAGCCCTGAACCCCGAATCCTGAACCCAAAAGGGCCCTCAGGCACCGAACCCAAAGCCTAAACCCGAAAGTCACTCGAATCCGTAGACTCTACAACCCCCGAGACCCGAAACGCAAAATCCTGCGATTTATCCTCGTCCTCGGAAGCCTCGGAACAGCAGAGGTGGCCGAGATACTTGGGAAGGAGGCTGGGGGGGTATGTAGGGTTGGGGAGTGGGGGTAATAGGCGCTAAACCCTAAACCCTAAAACCCCTAAAACCCTAAAACCCCTAAAACCCCTAAAGCCCCTAAAACCCTTAAAACCCCTAAAACTCCTAAAACCCCTAAACCCTAAAACCCCCCAAAACCCCGAAAACCGCCTAAACCCTAAACCCTAAAACCCCTAAACCCCTAAAACCCTAGAAAGGTCTAGGCTCGGAAGTCTTGGGATCTAGCGTTTGAGGCTTGGGGGCTTCCAGGTTTTGGGGCCGAGGGATGGCGAGGTTTGGTTTGGGCTCGTTTTTTCAGGGTTTCAGGGCTTTAGGGTTTTAGGGTTTGGGGGTTTTTAAGGGGTTCTAAGGGGTTTTAGGGTTCAGGGCTTTAGGTGTTTAGGGTTTTGGGGGTTTTATGGGTTTTAAGGGGTTTTAGGGTTTAGGGCTTTAGGGCTTTAGGGTTTGGGGTTTTATGGGTTTTTAAGGGGTTCTAAGGGGTTTTAGGGTTCAGGGCTTTAGGGCTTTAGGGTTTTAGGGGTTTAGGGTTTTGGGCAGAAGGATTGCGGTCGGTTAGTGGACCGAAGCTTTTAGGGTTCATGGTTTAAGAGGTTGTAGGGTTTAGGGTGTAGGGTACGTTAAGGGTCAGTAAACGACTTTAGAGCACGGGTTGTAGGGTTTTAGGGTTGTACGGTCTTCGGCTTTAGGGTTTTAGGGCTTTAGGGTTTTAGGGCTTTAGGGGTTTAGGGCTTCAGGGTTTGAGGGCTTTAGGGGTTTAGGGCTTTAGGGTTTGAGGGTTTTAGGGTTTTAGGTTTTAGGGCTTAGGGCTTTAGGGCTTTTAGGGTTTTAGGGTTTTAGAGTTTAGGGTTTTAGGGCTTAGGGCTTTGGGTTTAGGGTTTAGGGTTTTAGGGTTTAGGGTTTAGGGTTTTAGGGTTTAGGTTTAGGTAGGCGGCATTTGGTGTTGATTTGGAACGTTTTGGGCGCTTTTTAGACGGGCTGATATGCATGCTGCATTATTGAGCAGCAGCTATTAAGGCCGTAGGCCTCCCAACCCCCAGGCGTTCTGAACCCTATTCTCAAGTGCGATGACAGTAAAACCTAAACCCTCCACCCTAAGCCTCAGACCGAAACCATAAAGCCTGAGCCCTGACCTTAAACCCTAAAACCCTAGAGCTCAATCAGTAGAGTCTCTGTAGAGTCTAAAAACCCTAAACCCTAAGCTAAAAGCTCCTACGCCTTGAGGCGGGACTTTTCTTCCCCTCGGGCACCCTTGCCCAGCGTGCAGCGCTGCATGCCCACTTCCAACAGATGGAGCCTGGGTCCTGGGTTTAGGCTTTCGACTTCGTTTTTTAGGGTTTAGGGTCTAGAATCTAGGGTGTAGGGTTTAGGGTTTCGACTTCGTTGTTTTAGGGTTTAGGGTCTAGAATCTAGGGTGGAGGGTTCGGGTTTCGACTTCGTTTTTGAGGGTTCAGGGTCTAGAATGTAGGGTGTAGGGTTTAGGGCTTAGGGATATAATATGGATCATGACCTCAACCTCCGATGCAGAAAACCTAGACCCAGACCAAGACCACCGAAACCTAAACCCAAATCCTAATCCCAAGCCCTAAACCGCGAAGACCCTAAACCCTAAAACCCTAAAGCCATAAACCCTGAACCCGTAAACCCTGTGAATCCTAAACCCCTAAATCTATAGCACATAAACCCCAAGCCCTAGCCGCAACACTGGGCATCCAAGGAGTCGTCCTCGGGGAGGCTATTTCTACATCCGACGTTCCTTGACATCCGCAGCCCCCCATGCGCATCCGTTTTGGTTTAGGGGGTGAGGGGATTGGGTTTATGGGTGGTGAATTTGGGGTCGAGGCTTGACTGTGAACCCTCCTCATGCGCGCACAGCCGGAAAGGTCCCACTTGATTCATCACGACTGCCTACGGGATGGGCCAGCACAAGCGAGACTGGCACGAGGCAAGGTGGCTCGTTTGCAATCAGTATAGATTTTTGAGTTTGTTTGCGTATCGGCATGCCTGTGGCCCTTTGTGCGTGTATGTTTGTATGGATATGAAGCATTGCTGATGTGTCTTCATCTGCAAAGTAGCCAAGAAGCCAAATTCAAACGAGTGAAAAATCGCACGGGGGTCTCTTGTGTCTCCCTGTGCTGGCTTCGGCTTTCGGGGACCGTGATTGATGTTTACAGTCAGCATGTGTTTCCCGTCGCAAACATGTGCCTGCCTGTGGGGAAGCGACCACTTCAAATTTTCGCCCCAATGCATAAGTACACGTGTGGACATGTTCGTGCGCGTAGGTCCATATTTGTAGGTGGCCCCTGTTGCCCCGGCTGTTCGTCAGCGAGAGGTTTGGTGTCCACGACGTAGAATATATGCAATATATGTGGTGGTGTTCGAACTTTAGGCTTTCCGCCCTTTCTGAGCTCGAAATCGTCTTCATCAACATCCTCCACCACCAACCACCAGACACCATCATCATTGCTGTTAGCAGCTCTCGACAAAATCTGCCGCAGCATCAACATCAGCTTCATGACATCCCGGCTCATTCCGTTGATGACTAGTGTTGGTCGTTACGCCTGACGGCGGCAAAAGGTTGCGGTATTTAGATTTATGAAGTCTACGAGTCTACGAACAGACAGAGGAGAATACAGCAGGCAAGACATGACGCAGCATGAATGTTGAAGCGTTGTTTCAGGTACGTTTGTCTAAACCAATGCTTGCAGCACCACACAGCACCCCATCAAGCCCCAACCCCACTCCACGCCGACCCCCCCCCCCGCCCCCCGCCCGTCCCCCCGCGCAATACCGCTCCACCCCACCGACTTCAATTAGACCATCCCTCAGGTAGAAAGGCTTCCGGCCTTCACTGTCGAAGTCGTGGGCCACTTTGCCAGACCGCTCTGCCCAGAACATCTGCACTCCCTTCTGCGTCCCGGCGACGTGGTGGTCATCGAGCTTCCCCAGCGGATGAGTTTGGGCAGCTTTCAGCGCTGAAGTCTTCAGGGCTTGACAATCCTGTAGGCATCCGCCTCGAAGCCTCTAATCAGATCTTGCCACAGTGATCATACGGCTTGGCGGGTGCTTATCTATGTGTGTGTACAAGCATATGTGTGTATGTAGGTATGTATGTATGTATGTAGGTAGGTAGGTAGGTAGGTAGGTAGGTAGGTATGAATGTATGTATGTATGTATGTATGTATTTACGTAGGTAGTTGGTATGTATGTATGTATGTATTTACGTAGGTAGTTGGTATATATGTATGTATGTATGTAGGTAGGTAGGTAGGTAGGTAGGTAGGTAGGTATGAACTTATGTATGTTTGTATGTATGTATGCATGTATGTAGGTATGTATGTATGTCTGTATGTCTGTATGTATGTATGTATGCATGTATGTAGGTATGTACGTATGTATGCACGTACGTAAATATGTATCTATCCATCTATCTGTCTATCTATCTATCTATCTATCTATCTATATATATATATGTATATACATATATATATATACATATATATATATAAGCATGCACATTATGTATAGATATCCGAATTGATGTACACATGCATGTTTGAATATTTGTGGATACGAACATATATACACACACACATATATATATATATACATACATACATATATACATATACACATGCATGTATATGTGCACACGTATACATGTGTATGTGTTTATATGCATCTGTGTGTGCGCTTATGTACATGTATACGGAGGTATGTATATAAGCGCATGACTGTATGTGTGCATATTTTCACCTCTACATACATATATATATACCTGTATATATACATACGCATCTATGCTGAATGCATATATGTTTAGATGTATATGTGCATAGAAGTATCTACGTACTTATTTCTATGTCTATATAAATATGTATATATGTAGATGTAAATACATGTATTGCATGTATACATATTCATAAGAATACACATATATGATGTATGTATATATATATATATTATATATGCATGCCTGCGTATAGGAACATTCTGTACATGTTAAGGCAGACTCTGTATGTGTACATGTGCAGGTGTTCGTGTCTTGTACATACATATACGCACACACACATATATATATATATTTATTCGTTTATTTTTTTATACATGTATTTATATTTGTGTTTAAACTTATATAATATATATATATATATGTAATTATCTGTGTGTGTGTGTGTTTGTTTGTGTCTGTTTCTCCGTGTGTGTATGCGTCTGTGCACGTGTGCGTGTATGTGTATGTGCAGTCCACGCACCTGTACTTTTATTTGTATGTATATGAGCGTGCGTATGAGTATGCATACGTACAGTACAGCCATGCTTTTCCGTGTACGTATATGCATTGTATGATTGGACTACATGTGTAAACGAGCGATGCTAAGAGCATGCATGTTTGTGCATATCCTCGATTATTCGTATATATATATATATATTTACTTATATACAGTTATACGGACAGTTATATATACACACACACATGTGTCTGTGTGTGTGTGATATATATATATATACATATACACACGTATATGTATGGTCGCTTTCCCATAATGATCTGTAGCGATCTAGATGTTTCATTTGGCATCGCGCAAGAGTCACAACCGATTGAACGCAATGAAAATGAAACCCCAACACCATGCAAGATCACAATCAAATGAAGCCACTGCAACCACATGAATTACTGACTCACGCACACGAACCGGCATGAAGCGCCAATTCTCCGAAAGAAACCACGTGAACATACACCGCATTACGACCTGCACTGAAAACTTGAACCTTAAAAAAAGCCAGGGAACTAAGATGCCCAGGACTCTTGATTCTTGGTTCCTGGCGCCCCCGGCGCATCAAGCCTGCGGAACCAAGAACCAAGATTCAAGAGGAGGAGAGTACCAGGACCCTCCTTGTACCCTCAAACAGGGGTATATTGTCCCAAAGAATGGGTACTTAGGGTCTAATCGAGGGTAGATGGAGGGTCTAGCTAGTTTGATCGCCCGGGTGAAGCTGTGTAACATAACGGTGCGAAGTGTCGTGCTTAATATCCTCACTCGGCTGTTGGTTTGCAGTTGGCATCCAGGGGTTGATTTTGCAGCCGTCAGTTTTCTGCACAAGTAAACCCTAAACCCTAAACCAAGTCATGATTCACGCATCAGCTTGCATCGACAGCGAAACATGCAGCGTCCTTTCACATCGACGACAATCCACGGCACCGAGGAATGGAGGACGAACATGCAGATGGGAGACTCTAATGGAGATCCGCCGACTCACGGCAGAGTCGGGTGCGCGGCTGCACATGGATGGTGCCCGCCTTTTTGAGGCGCACAGCTTTTGCAGCGATCGGTTGTGAAGCAGTCCGATCACAATGGTTCATGCCGGAGATCTCTTCCAGTCCTGGAATCTAGCCAAAAAAAATCATCCCCCCCTTTACTCCCCTCAAATAAGTGACAGGGGTCCCCGAGCACCCCAAAAAGAGCAGACGGAAACGCCACCACAATGCTCCCGGCGCCACCCGGACGACCAGCACGATCCGGCTGCAACAAAGGCCCTTCGTCCGGGCCACCTCATCAATGCGAGTGGTTTGGTTTTTATGGCAGTAAGAGCTCACCATCAAGCAATCAGCCCAAACCGGTTGAAAGCACATGAATGCTCACACCTGCAAGCGCCAGGCAAAGCCATTCTACGGCCGTGATGTTCGGGAAATCTGCGCCTTGCTCCTGGACTTGTTTGGACATGTTGCCAGCCGTGTAGACAAGCAGCAAGGTTTCAGGAAAGCCCTGGTTCATGACCATCGAGCTTCGCTATAAACCAAAGCTGAACCCCTCAATCGCAGATTTACTCCGATTTCCCCGGAATTTTGGCAGCTTAACCCGAAACCCTAAACTCTAAACCCTAAACCCTGAAGCCTATGACCAGAACAGGCCCTTGCAACTGCTCTGCGGCCCAGGTTTGACTCTGTGTACATCTCCTGGTACAAGGGTTTTGGAGGCGTGGCTAGGTTTAGGGTTTAGGGTTTAGGGTTTAGGGTTTACATACCTAAACCCCTAAACCCCTAAACTCTAAAGCCCGAAACCCTAAACCGTACAAAAAAACTCCAAAGTCTCAAACGCCAAATGGGCGGTTCTCTAAGCTAGGGTCCTTTTTAGGGTCCTTCTTAGGGGCTTAGGGCTTGCGGTTTAGGGTTTAGGTTTTAGGGGTTTGGCGACCTCTAAAGGAACCCTAATCTAGAGAACTACCCTAATCTAAAGCCCTAATCAACAAACTTGTTGTATGTTTTTTGGATGCAAGGGCCGAAGAATAAACACCTAAACCCCTAAATTTTCCAAACCCCACACACAAAAAACAAAAAAAACATTCCAAAACCCTAAACCCCTAAATTCCTAAACCCTTGAACCCTAAATCTTAAATCTTAAACCGCGAAGACCCTGAACCTTAAACCCCAAATCCAAAAGCCCGTACACCCTAAACCCTCAAACCCTAAACCCCCAAATCCTAAACCCTGAACCCTAAACCCCTAAACCCTAAACCCTAAACCCCTATACGCCAGAGACCCTAAACCCGGCAAAAGGCATGGCCGGAGCACTTCTGGCAGCCTCCGACTCCCTGATCTCCCTGGCCGCAGACTCTTGCAATGTTCTTGGGGGCTCTTAGGGTTTTATAGAGGGTTTAGGGTTTCGGGTTTAAGGGTTTAGGGTTTAGGGTTTTTAGGGTTTTGAGTTTTAGGGTTTAGGGCTCTTAGGCTCGTGGTTAAGGTTTTAGGGTTTAAGGTTTCGTGGTTAGGGGTTTAGGGTTTTTTGACTTTAGGTTTTCCAGAATTGGGGGGGCTGGGGGGGTTAGGGGTTTAGGGTTTGTTTGGCCTTAAGGTTTTTTGGAGTGAAGAGTTGAGGGTGTTAGGCTTGAGGGGCTTATAGTGTTTAGGGGTTTAGGGTCTCAGGGTAGTATACTTTTCATTCAGGGTGGGTTTAGGGTTTAGGGGATCCGTTTCGCTTTGTTTTTTGAGTTTCCCGCACTTTTTAAAAAAAGGAAGCCCAGGAGGAGGATTCTCGCCCGCCTGTCAAGACATCATAGAAGCCTTAAAGGACGCCAAACCATTCTTTTTTTGGCGTTGTTTCAAGAGATATCCACCCTAAAGCCGGAACACTTGAATTCCCAAACCCAAAACCCTAGCCCTCAACCCTCGACCCGAAACCCTAAACCCTCAGCCCCAAGCCCAAAACCCACGACCCTCAACCCCAAACCCTGAACTCTAGACCCTTTCTTCAGCCCGAAGCCCAGGACTGGCGCAGTCGGCTGGGGGGTGGCCTCTTCACCTTTACCCCTCAGTGGCTGGATGCCAGGGAGCCTCCCGTTGCCGCATTTCTACTTCGGGAGTTTAAGAGGTCAGGTCTCAGGGCTTAGGGTTCAGGGTTTAGGGTTTCAGGGCTTACGGTTTAGGGTTTGGGGTTCCAGGGCTTAGGGGTTAGGGTTTAGGGTTTCAGGGCTTTGGGGTTTAGGGTTTCGGGGCTTAGGGCTCAGGCTTTGGGGTTTAGGGTTTAGGTAACGGTTATGTAAGTTATGTAGTTTCAGGGAATCTGCGGTTCGTAGAGCTTAGGTCGGTGGGGTGACGTGTTTACGGGGCTTCTTGGGTGTAAATCATGTGGCTAAACCTCGTAGCCTAGAAATCCAGACCGGCATCCTGAAGACGCGGCCTCATAGCTTGACGATCCACAAATCAAGGCAGCGGCACCGCAAAGTCTCAGCTCACCTTCCTTGGGCTTTAGGGCTTAGAGTTGAGGGGTTTTGGGGGTTTAGGGTTTAATAAAGCCCCTGAAACCCTAAACCCTAAACCGTGTTGAAGGTTTCGGGTGATGTGGAGTCCGAGGTTTGAGGTTGCAGTCCTAGACCGGCAGAAGCCGTAGACCAGCATTACTGATTCTACACAACCTTCGTTTCAGGTCCTATTTGCCGTTATACCCTATTCAATTAAGTTAGCCTTGGTTTTACGACCCCCCCCCCTTCCCCCGCCCCCCCCGAAACACCATAACATCGTCTGTGATGAAGCCACCACTCATAAAGAAACCGCGATGCACCCCGAACCCTAGACCTCAAACCCTGATCTCTAAACCCGAACCCTAAACCCTAAACCCTAAAACAAAAAAAACGAAGACTTGAAGCCTCTAAAGGAGCTTCCCTGCATTACCGTGCAAAGTAGCCAGGAGCAGCTCCGGTGCCATCTGGGTTCCTTCACTCAGCGCTTCCTGCGGCTTCAGGACGCTAAAAAATCCTGAGCAAATGTTGTAAGTCGGTTTAGGGTTTAGGGCTTTGGGGTTTAGGGTTAAGTTGTAAGGCATCCTATATTGGGTGTACAGTGGTCTCATGGTTTCTGCTTCATGTCGGCTATATGTTTAGGGGCTTACAACTTGTTTGTTGAGGGCGGCTGTCACTTAAGAGTTTTGGCAGACACGCTTAATGTAGGCAAGAGCCATCGTGAGGAATACCTTCATGCTTTAATGAGACAGGCAGGGTGGCAAAGGCCAAAGCTCTAAACTTAAGTCCAGAATCAAATTCACCACTCTTGTCTCCGGGGCGCCTGGAGCTATTCGGGTACAGGTGGTAACATGCGAGTCCTCCGTTCGAGGACGCGCGAAAGATATGTTACATCGTCAAAAACCTACAGTAGTCCATGAAACCATGCGCACTAAATCTCTAAACCCCTAAACCCTAAACCCTACGTCGTCAGGAAACCTTAAGCCCACAAATCTCCAATTTTGCGGTCGGATTGATCAGTGATGATATCCCACGAGGGTCCCTATGAAACCACCGTTCAACACACCCCCAACCCTCGTCCTTCTACCGGAAGACCCTTTTAGAAACCCCTACGCCCTAAGCCCACAAGCGAACACCCTCGGACCTTCGCAGCCTCATACTACCTATAGTCTTCATTGTAGTTCCTTTTTTGGGTTAACCAATTTCATATTTAGGATCCTATAATCTGTAATTTTGGTTAACCTAAATTATAAATTATAGGATCCCCAATATGAAATTGGTTAACCTAAAAAAAGGAACTACAGCGGAGACTTTCAGTAAATGCAAGGCCGCTGAGCACCCTAAGGCCCCGTGAATGAAAGCACCTTTAATGGAACCCTTCGCCCCAGCCCTGCACGGCCTAACCTCTCACAGCAATCCAAACCCCAAACCCTTTGTCCAAAATCCTAAACCCTTCGGGGTGTGCCAGAAAGAAGGCCCACTGCACTTTAAGCAAAAACCCTAAACCTTAAAAAAGCCCAACAGAGGAGCTGGTTGAAGCCATGACGGCCGAACCTGCGCTGAGCCTCTTCCTGCGCTTCGAACCACCTGCGCCCGAGTCCTGCCTGATCCACGTCTACCTCAAAGGCCACCTCTTAGGAATTCAGCAAGGGCTTTTCAAAGGGTTCTGTATGGGTTTTGCTAAGGGTTCTGTATGGGTGCTTATTTTCTGAGAGGTTTGTTCTTACGAGGTTTATATATAATATAATAGAATAAGGGGTCTTTTTCGGAAGTTCTCTTCGAGTTTGAGGGTTCCTCCAAGGGCTGGTATGGCTTTTTATAAACGGTTTTCGTCGCCGCCTGGACTTGCATTGTGCAGCGAGGCCCTCCTTGTTGCAGGGATTTAGGGGTTGTGTAGGCTTCATCATGCTGTTATCAGGCGCAGTTGTCTTAGGGTTTAGTAGGATGCAAGGGTTCTATACGGACCCTCGATGTCTGATTAGGGTCCCTAAACCCTATAAAGCCTAAACCCTAAACCCTAAATATAAAAACAGTGGCGCTTAACACAACAAAACTAAACATGGAGGAGTTAGGCATTATCCGCGTCCGACTGCAAGGCGGTTGCTGAAAATTGTGTAAGGGCTTGCTTCGGGTGGTAGGGTTTACACAGTTCAGGGTTTGGGGTTTAGGGCTCATTAAGCCCAGAACCCTAACCCCCAAATTATTGTCGGGAGCAGGGAATTTGGGTTTTGAGGTTGAAAAGGGTGAGGAGGGCGTGGAGGTTCATGGATGTGGATAGTTCTCTAAATCAGGGTCCCTTTTAGGGTCCTGTTTATACGCGTGCCGTACTATATTTGGGACCCAACAAGGGACCCTAATTTAGAGAACTACTCATGTTGGGTTCAGGACTACAGGGATCTGGAGAGTCTACGATCAGCTCCGGTTTCAGGCGGAGGGTCAAACTATCGCAAAAAGAGAGCCCAGAAAAAACATATCAATGTGGGTTCCCAAGTAGCTACTTATTCGATATGTTTTCCCCAGGGTTGTAAGAACATAGCAAATCTAAGGCCCCCTATTTTGCTCATGAGCACATCTCTAGCAGTTCCATAATTCCACCAAGCAGACCTGAACCAAGCAAGCTGCAAAGAGTCCGCGAGCCACGCTACACATTAAGCTTCAAGCAGGAGCCTTAAACCCTAAACCTCTAAAGCCCTAAAGCCCTAAAACCCTAAACCCTTGACCCTCATCGTTCAGGCAGTGAGGACATGCTGCAGGCGGCTCACGATGGTGCCGTGGCCACGAATACGAGAGCTGCGGCTCAAAGCCTCCACAAACCCTAAACCCTAAACCCTGAACCCTAAACCCTAAACCCTAAACCCTAAACCCTAAACCCTAACACAAGCCTTCGGGATTTCACAGCAGAGCCGGTAACCGAGAAGTCTGTAGAAGCCCACAAGTTTCCGCTGAAGGTCTTAGAGTTAGGGTTTAGGGTTTAGGGAGTTTGGGGGTTTGGGGTTTAGGGAGCTATGGGTTTAGGGTTTAGGGAGTTGTGGGTTTAGGGTTTGGGGCTTAGGGCTTAAGGGCTTCATTCCGGTCCTGGAGATTCAGAACCAGGGCCTTCGCTGCGCGAAGTTACAATCTGCAACAGCGAGTGGGCTCTCACACTTCGGTTGGTGATGAGCTTTTCGAGAGTTCAGAGCTCGATGTAGAGCAAAGCAGAAAAAGACCGAACAATGGTCGTCATGAGTTACTACAGAGTAGTCGTCGTCATCGTCGTCGTCCTAGTCTGACTCGTGGAAGGCTTTCGGGTTTACAGCAACTACTAAAGTAGATTATGTTTCATTATAAGTTATTATATATTATATGATATTAGAAAAGTATAGCATAGCACATGAAGCTATATATGATATACCTTCAGCCTGCCCCAGGCGTACTGAATGCTTTGGGGCTGAAACTCTGGAACCGCCTGCGCGGTGTCGGCTACCCTGCGAGCTTCTGCGATGATGACGAGGAGGCCCAAAGTGAGGCCGGGGCTTCGTCTGCTATGTTTAGGGCTTATAGGGTTTAGGGGGAGGCTTCTTCTGCTATATGTGGTCTTCTTCTCGTTTTGGCCTATCTCGACTCAGCGTGTTAGTATTGTTACTTCGGATTTGGGGGGTTACTTTTGTTCGGCCATCGTCATGCAGGCTCGGAGTTTGCAGATTCTCCGTTTTCCAGTTATAGCAATGGACTTCAGGAGCCGGAGAGGGAGAACGGGTTGGAGTGATGCGGTGCTTGGACATTGCGGGGTTTAGGGTTTAATATGTATATATATATATATGTAATAAAGAACATATAGGATGTATACTACATATATGTATATATAAATAGGGAACGGTCATGGAGTATGAGAGCTCCGCAGGTGTGGATAGTGCAAATGCTGTGGAGGCCGAGTCGACTGTTGAGAGAAATGGGCTCAAGTGCACATAACACTTCAACGTCGTAAAGCATCAGCTTGCCACGAGAACCTCACAGGCCCTGCAGAGAGAGCTCTCTGTCTTTTGGTAAACCAGCTGTTCGGTTGGTCCTTTTTATGTCCTATAAGCCTTGCTCTTGTTGCTGTGGCAGTACAGCCCTGCGTATCTCATGCCAGGCCGGTGAGTGCTACTTCGAATTCAACATGGGCCCTGCAAATGCTCAGATTCCCATCTCGACCTTCTTGGAAGGATGGCGCGCCTTTGCGCTGGCTCTTTCCGAAAAAGCCTGATTCTTGAGCTTCATCAGAGTCCAATCCTTCCACCATATCGCACTAATTACGCATGACATTCGAGAGAATGCTTCGTCAACTGTGCTCCGACGAATTCCATCCGCTACAGCGGCAACCCCGCCTGCTGCATCCAACACCTCTGGAGTCTTTCAGGGCTGAGTCTGACTTTGAGGGTTTAGGGATTAGGGTTTA